GATATTAAAAAGGCATTTTCAACAAATCTTATATTCTTTGTTTAGCCATTAATTTTGAAATTTTAATAAAATTTATGAACATTTTGCATCATATACTCTGCCTCTAGCATCATGAAACAAATTCCAGTGGACACAGGAAGAGAAATGTCCTATAATTACCCCATGTGTTAAATTACAAGCACATACATTCTAGACACACAGAACCATACAAGGGAATCTGAGGAATAATGGTGACCTGAAGGCTGCTTAATAAAGCATGCTAAAGTGATAAGAAGTCTGACACTATAAAGCACAGTTTTTACAATAAAAGATGTATTGGGTTAATATGGCTACTCACTGATGCTTACCTGACTAAATATCTTAGCACATTAAATCACAGATACTTACAATCAGTCTTAAGATAAACCAGCTTTCACATTTTCAAGCCCAAAGCATCCTTTCTTGTTTCTTTTATTTAAGTTTGGGGCTTTACGGCTTTAAAATACATCTTTAAAACATATAGTAAAAAGAAACACTGTAGGTTTGCCTATTAGCACCTTGGGCTGCTTTAACATTAATTTGTAAAGTCTATATAAAAGGACTTTGGTTAGAAGTCAATTAAAAACATTTTGTCTTATAAAGAGTGAATCTCACATTCAAACAGGCATTTAACATTATGCTGAATTGCCTCCATGTTTCTATCCATACTAAATCACAATAAATGCACCAATAAATTACAGTAGTCACTGAAAACAGAAATAAAGCAGCATTAAAATTTCTCATGCAGCATATTTCTAAAAAGCATAACAAAAGATTGAACAAGACATGGAGTCTAGAAGTTCTGGTATTATTTTCACATTCTGCAACACACTATTTAAGACTAAATATATTTCAAAATATTTTCCAAGAGTAACTAGTGTGCTATAATATATTTGCATTGAGAAGCAAACCATTACAGTTCAGTTTCTATTGTCCTCTGGGAATAAATTAGTCACTTTCTCTGGTTGTATTTAATATACATCAATATTTAAAAGACACCACAGTTTAAAAGAAGACTGAACATATAACATTAAAAATAAATATTATTTTCATGGACTCAAATAAAAAGGGCATGAATTATTACACACGGACTTCAGCTGTGTATCTATGAAGAGCATAATGATGTCATATTGCTTTTATTGCTGAAAATGTAATCCGAGCAAGCAAAGGAGGAAAGAACCACCCGCAACCCAAACAAACTTAGGTGAATACAAAATGAAAAGCAACATCAATTTCACTGCAGACAAACCCAGTCACACAGATTAAGCAAGCACAATACTGGTGCGTCTTATCTCTGACCACAGGAGGAGGGTAGACAGATTCTACAGGATGAAGAAATTCAGACTATGTAATAGGCAGAATCAATTGTTACCTGCCTCAATCAATGCCGCTCCACTTTCACTGTTCAGCAGCTCACAAATAATTAAAGTTATCCTGGACAAAAACCTCATCTGTAATGACTAGCTAACCGCCACCATGACAAACTTCAAAGTCAGTGATATCAATCTGAATTCAATAGTGTGGAACTGGATATAGCTGATGAATAAGTATGAATCTTACCCTGATGGTCCATGCACGCACTTCATCTGGGCCTGCAGTGAAGAAGTATTCTAGCTGGAGTGCTGCAAACCCAGCCTTAATGATCTTTGGCAAAGCACTGAAATAAAATGAAACAAATTCTCTCAATACTTACATAAGCTGACTGTTGCTGAAGATTGATTTAGAACTAAGAATATTCATTTCACGCAGGGCATGTTAAAAATATGAGTAAATTATCATTCATCTTTCATTGAAAATGTGAAGAGGTCAGAAAGCAAGATCTCTTCTAAAACCGGTTTTAATTGTATTTTTAGCCTGAAGATAGCCATGTTCTAAATTGTTTACTATGTAAGAAAGAAAAATTAGCTCTACCCACCCTATGGCTATTTTCATTCAGTATTAATTATACCTAGGATGTGGGGCATGAAAGCAAAATTATTTGACTGAAATTCAATATTTAAACAATATATTACTGTTACTCAGAAAAAATTATGGCAACTGATTCAGCCTTTACCCTCCCCCACCCAACATGACGAAAGAGTTTTGGCGATCATCCCTCTGCAAAAATATACATAACTAATACCTATGTTATAATTAAAACACTGTACAGAGATGACAGATGACAGTTAAAAACTTAATTTAAAATAAATCTTTTCACTCTGTCTCATGGTAAAGAAAGGAGAAGATTCCCTCTTTATAATGGTAATTACTCTGTCATTTATTATTCTATCAGCGCAAGCAATTAAATTACTGCAAGGAAATAGTTGATAATAAAGTGTAGGGAAAATGAATGCTAATTAACCTTTGTGTCATGTTCGCTTCCAGATACTTCTGTCTCTCCTCAGCACTCAATTCTTGCAACTTGAGTTCCAAGGCCCCACTAAAAGGAATGACCAAGGCACCTGGGTCATACTTGTCCACCCACTCTTTAATTTTTATCAACCTGTAGACAAAAAAGGGCACAACATTATCTTGTAGTGCATGCATGACTGTACCACATTCATTATTATCAAGTAGCACATACATATTCATAAGAATTGCACGGTTTTATGATGCCATCTTTTTGTGTATAGCTTTCCAAGGTCAAGACATTAACAGGCTGCAATTGCTTCAGGTACACGCCATAATATTTTACTGTAATCTAGTTTTACTTTAGCACATTATACATAGGAACTATTACACAAATATTTTTAAACTTTTTAGTTAGAATAAATCTATTCAGCATTAACTCTTGTATCCTTGATAGCCTCACACATTTTTCTTTTTTTATGAAGTCAATATAAAACACAGAAAACATTAAGTTCTGTTTGCATAGGAGTCAGCTTAAAGATATTAGCTAATCTGGAAAAGTGCTTGATAAATAAATGTGATTTGTTCAGCTGAGGTATCTATATTCCAGGTTTAGTTCCTTCTTGGAATAAGCGAATTTATAGGCGTCCATGATTTTGAGAAAGAATTGTGCCAACCAAAGCAAACATACAGGAATATAGATTTACAGACATGGTCAAGCACGTGCACAGTTCACACGTACATCACTTCTGCAGCATGATGAAAGATAGAACTTTTAAAGGAAACAAATTCCCTTTCATCACAAAGCATGTGGAAAGCCAAATCAGTTAGGTAACTGATTTTGTAGCGTGAAAAGACATTACTGAATCTCTTTTCCCCCCTTCAAAGCATGGAGTATTTTGGCAAAGAGGTAAGTGGAATGTAAGTCAAATCAGTGTGGCATATTTATGAATAGGTTCCAATTCTACTTCCTAGTTTTTCCTGCACAGGCAGGTTACCAATGCTTAGCTTCTTTATTTGAAAAACTAGAGATTAGAATAGTACATGTTATACTGTAAACTTGTAACAAAAAGAATGTGTGTAAGCAGGAAACAATTAGTTATTAATTTTCATTCCCAATCATAGCATATAGTCAGAGGATTCTAGAATTAAATTTAGTATAAGACTGACTACAGACTTCATTGAAATTTATATCACAAATTTTAATGTATGCGATAGCCTTAAATAATTCTACTAGCCTGCTATATTTATATCAATGCTGCAAGTGATTACAGCAAAATATTGTGGCAGGAATTCCTTAAATCATCAATGTAAATGCTATTTCAGGGGAAAAGAAGCGAGAATAGAGTCACAAGTCCATCAATACTCAACTAAAAGATGACAGCAAATCAGATTTATTAGAAAATTAAGAATATAGCCCACTGAGCAGTATTTAGGATAATGAAAAACTCACACAACATTTTGTACATGTTTGTTACAAAACAGTAGGTACTCTCCAATGTGTTCTTAGTGGTTTTTGATTTTCATAATAGCATTTCCCTGTTATGTTCACTCTATAAATTGAACCAATTCCTAAATTTATTGTAGAATAAAGAACGTAGAGCTTAAGATGTGATTCTAACCAGCCATTTTCTTATCTAAAATTATGGACATATCAAAAATAAAGAAAATTTAAATTAGCACTTCTGCTTAAAAAAATCCCGAGTCTAAGTTACTTTATAGATTTCAGACTATTCAAACAAAACTCTATATTAAAATATTATCACATCAATGGTTTAGTAATATACTTTCACAAGTTAGAATCAAATATGCAATTTGGAAAAAGCAGATCACATACCAAACACAGATTCAATCAAAGTAAAAAAAAAAAAAACAGGAAAAAGGATAATATGAAAATGTCATACACATATCTTACAAATATGTTCAACACAACTGATAAGACTAGAACTACATTAAAACAGCTAGGAAATAATTACTTTGGCTAAAATATCAATTCAGAATAACAACAGTTCTACCCTGTGATTTTAACAGCCTTTCCTGCAGGGTCTTCAGAGGGATTATTTGCATTCCTCAGGTGTTCTATTGTACAATTCAGATGAATAAAGACTTACAAATCATTCCTCTACCGCCAATGTGAGACTTTGATCTGTGAATACACCATTGTACCTTAACTATAATTGGCAAAAAACCTGACAGTGTAGAGCATCACAAGCTTAATAACAAAGGAGAATATCTCAAAGTGTTGACAGATGATCTTCATAATGCAGAAGCAGAGCTGGTACATTTTAGCAGTAAATGAGCACTGAGGTCTAAAGGTCTCTAAAGTGACTGACATCAGACCTGCTATAGCCTCGGTAAAAGAAAAAGGTGCCGTAGCACTTTCCGTAAAGTGAGTTAGGCTCTTTGCCTGCAAGCTTCACTTTTGTGACTTTCACTGTCATAGAAAACACAGGGAAGATGAAAAGTGAGTTATGTTCTTTGCCTGTCTTTTGTGACTTTTACTATCAAACAAAAGTAAGAAATGTCCTAACATGATTTTTAATTATAGACTTTGAAATAAGTCTTACTCCTGAGTAATTAAAAATATGCCTCAATTTCAAGATTACGAACTATTAGGCCTGCTCATTACAAAAAAATGTGCTAATGAGGAAAAGATCACAAGTTTGAACCCCATAGGGACTACTTACCTTTTGTAAAAAGTCTATTCTCTTACTATAAACCATACCCCAAACTCTAGCTTGTCATTTAAAAAATGTGTGCCACTGGCATATATGGGAGATGGGAAATTAAAGTTCAGTACAACTACTGGAGAACAATCCCAAGCATATTCTGCCAAAGTGACTGAATAATATCGGCATGATCAGCAAATGTGTAAATGTATACCATCTAATTGGTAGTGACCAAAACAAGGAGACCAAGCCACATTTGTTTCTCTTAAAGTTAGGAGTAATTAAGGTGAAGAAAAGCTTCTATTTACTGCAGTTTACTACCTGGTAATGATGCCAAAGTAAAGCATCAAAGCAGGACAACCAATAAAACACTGATCACTCTTCTGAGAAAAACTGCTCAGTTATAATTTTTTGTCTTCGTTGTAGATTGAGTTCTTTATTATTAAATTGCTAAAAAAGAATGTCTCAAATTTATTTCTAGCCCTTTTTAAAAAAGAGATTAATTTTATTGGAATGGCAGACCAGATTTAGACAGAGAAGGAAAGAAAGACAGATGTTTGACCTGCAGCTTTAATCCCTACGTGGCCACCCAATGGCCAGAGCTGAGCCGATCCAAAGCCAGGAGCCAGGAGCTTCTTCTGGGTCTCCCAAGGTGGCTATAGGGTCCCAAGGCTGTGGGCCATCCTTGACTGCCTTCCCAAGCAACAGGCAGGAAGCTACATGGGAAATAGAGTGCACTGGCACCCATTTGGGACTCCGGTGCTTGCAAAGTGAGGATTTAGCCAATGAAGCGAGCCACTGAACTGGGCTATGCCTCTAATCTTTATTCTGATGTTCTTATCCGATGTTTAAAGTCCAGATTCCAAAATTTAATAGGGTTAGCTTACATTGATTTCCTAGATTTTAATTTTGCTATTAAAATTTTATTTGTTTTTCAAAGCTACCTAATTTTGGGGAATAATTTTCAATCTTTTTTAATGAGTTGTCTAGTTCAACATAAACATAAAAGTTGTTTTCAGATTTTTACTTTTGGTTTCTTGAATATCACCACCCCCCCATGCTCCCATTTGTCACCTGCTAATGAACCTCTAGAGACAGTTGGTTCACTTGCGCGTGTGTGTATGTGAAAATGGCCAGTCTTTGTGGCAGTGGCAGTAGTAGTAGTTAGGTTCCAAGGGAATCCAGTGATCCCCAGGGATAGAGCTATCTACGGCTTAGTTTCTTGCGCTAAATTTCCTGAGACCAAGTTATTTCCCTATCTGGAAGGAGTCGGGTGGCTATGGTTTAGTAGTGGCTTATTCCCCAAGGGCTCACATAATGGTGACTTGGTTCCCAGTACGATCGTATTATGGGTGGAGCTGAGTATAAGTGATTGAGGTTATGGGGCAATATCCTCAAAAGGGACTCATGCTGGTCTCATAAGCTATTCACACCTTTCACAGGAAGCCACCTTCTATGTTGTGATGTGGCCAGAGTGGCCTAGGTAAGTTGCCTAATCTTGAAGCTTCAGCTTCTGAAACTGTGAGCTGAAAAGTCTTTTCCTTTACGTATTATCTGTATTGTTTTCTTTTTTTAAGCAGCAGTACAAAGATAGACTAATACAGGAGTATTTTCCAAGTAGCAAATCATCTTCTAAGCTTTTTGAATGAGTATAGCCCATTGTGCTGTCAACTGCACTGGTACCATCACTGCATTTCCTTATTATTGGCACCTACAGAAAACCTTTTTTGCCTTTAAGTCCTGCTGTGTGTTCAACAACTACCACACCACCATCAATGCCACCCATACCTGGCTATATTATCTGGTGTTTCTGTATCTTAGGCACATGAAGTGAGCTTTCTATATTGGCTCAGTCCACTTTCTTAATTGGAAGCTCTCTATATCAAAATTAAATCCTCCCTGTATAGTATTCTGCAGTATTTTTGAAAAATTTTCTGACCATCACTCACTGTAATAGATTTTATACTTCGACTCCAACTATGTGATACAGATATATTATTTTCACGTATATATTGAAACTGAGAGGTTTCACAAAACAATGGTTGGCTTTGCAAAGCAAAAGTACAGTTCCAATAGTGCCACTTCATATTTTGCGCAAAAATCACATAAAATGTATGTTCTAGCATACTTTTAATAAGAACTTTCTTGACTTAATTTTTACATCTCAGGTACTTTGAGCCTTTCAACTACACCAGCCACTTAAATTCTGATTATATTTCTTGAGAATTCTTTAAAGATGAGTCAATCCAGCACTAAAGCCAAGTTACACTAACAGTTATGAATCTCTACTAAATACTAGAGCTCTCTCAAATCTGCAGTATTTCACTCTGGAATATCTATGTGAATTTACAATCGTTTACAAATGTAATACTTCAAGGTATCACAGCCCTCTTTTCCATGTTCTAAATACCAAGGATGGAAATGAACATAGTTCACAGTGTTCTAAAAATAAAAAGTAAGATTTAAAGAAATAAGGATGTCTTAA